AAAAGGTTTCAAGGCAATCGCAAAAATTTGCCAGGCTGGATAGGGGGGGCCATGTAGACACGCGCATAAACGGTGATTATAGTAATTCCACAAGTGACAATTATGGTTTATTTGAATGTCACTGTCTGCGAGTAGCTTATGTGTTCCTGCACGTGATGGATGAAAAGATTGTACGAATAAAGCATCGCCTTTTTAAATATATTTCGATGTATCCAGCCAAGTGGACCTTATTTCATAAATTACATTTTCGATCAAATTGAGGAAATAAATGCATTGAATTTGGTTAATTACCAATTAATTTTCAAAACTTTTCGCCGCTTTTGTACCAATTACACATATTCGATTTATAAAGAACCCAAATATGACGTAAAATGTTTATTTTATGAATTTTGTTAATTTTTATTGGAACATGCCGTATTTTGTTCGACATGAATATTGTTTTTCTATTATTTTTTGCATATTTAATGATTTGTTTTAATGATTAAATTCAAATAGTTATTTCGATTTTTTTTTTTGGTTAATTCATACCAAAATATTAGAATTTCATAAAATACAACATAAATGCTATGATTATAATAATATTATACGTGCAATTAAAAGTGAGTCTCGAGCACAAATTCTTCTTAATTTTTTTTGGTGTTATTCATTCATGTTGTTCAACAAGGCCAACAATCGATAAGATAATTGCATGACCTGAAAGAAATGCAAATAAAAGTCGATGATCATATTTCAAGCATCTAATTATCTTACGCTTAAAAATCGTTCCATCGAAAGATCGGCAAATTTAAAAGCTTCCAAACTAAGAAGTCGCTGATTATTCTGAATAATCAAAGTGATTCCATTTTGAAAACGTGTATTTTTTGTATACCAAATGCTATCGTAAGCACTTTGTGGTATTTCTGAGCTCTGAAAAATCATACAAAGTTTTTTTAATTAAAAAGTGCCAAATTGAAAACAGTTTGATTGCATACACTATTTCGGATTTTCTGTGAAAACCAGCACATCACAAACAATTCCACTATGGATGAAAATGCATTCATCAAATATTGAATCAAATCATTTAACGAAGTCACATTTGTGCCCATGAAACAGAATAAAACCAAAATGGACGTGCTACAGCATAGATTAACAAGCGATGCGATTGAAAAAATATCGTTAAGCTGATGAATAAACCTTTTTGGAAATGGAATTTTCAAAGCACTCATAAATTCAAATAGACGCAAATATGAACGATAAAAATCAAAGAGTGTTCAATTTACTTACCCATTCAATTGATTATGTTTTTTAATGCACCAAATTAAGTGCTGATAATCATTGCGGTCATCTTGAATGGATCCATCATATGTGGTCATTTTCTTGGCCAAATGCTTATAATGCATATCAATCAAAAATATAATGCCATACATCATAAAATTGATGGCATTAATTGTGCCAATGTTGATAGCAGCCTCATAGCATTGTGAAAAGAAGAAAATTGGAAAGAAAATACGTTGCTTCGGATAGATTCGATACGGTTCATACGGATACTGCATCTCAAAATGTTCATCATTGGTTTTCGATTTATAATATGCGACAACGGTTGGACTGAAACTTGCATAGTTGATTGCAAACACAGAAATAATGACACAAATGCGAGTTAAGCGATTTATCCTTTTGTAATACTCATCAATGCGATATTCTTGCCGTTGCTGCTCACTGCATGGCATATTATCGTCAAGCATGAGTAATAATCGATTGAGCTTATGTCGTTTGAGTAGGAGCGTAAAAATTTTCGGCACTAATGATGTTATGTAAAATAACGGATACAAATGTCTACCATAAACCGATAAACCTTCATTAATCGTTTCCATCATCACTGTATATTGGCCGTAACCATTCAACATTGTATTTACAAATCCCAATGGCAACAGCCAGTTTGCGACAATATGATAAGCTTTTTCACCATTCAAACTATATGTCATTGCCAAACCCTTTACGGCAATTGTCAACAGTGGCAATTTTATAAAATCAATTGACTTCATTTTTCAAATATTGTGAATCTTCGTAATTTCAAAAAATTTAACAAGATCAAATCTTACTCTTAACATACAGAAAAAGAAACAAACTAACCCCGAGGAGTTGAACAGTTACCTTTTATATGGAAATTTTTTAATTATTCTATCAACGCAGTGAGCGTTGCTTAAACAAGCAATAAAAACAGTAATTGTATGGCTTGTTTTTTGTTCATTGGACCGCCGAGCTTCAATAATATGAATTATTTTTAATTAAATGTCTATCCAACCGGTAATTTGCGGTTAACTACCAGATTGTCATTGAAAAGAACTTTTTTTTCACCGAATCTATCTCTTGTGGCACTCCACATTGAATGAATGAAATTTCAAACTGAATAATTACACTGTCATTTTATATATACATATATTTCGATTGGAAAATATAACCAAATGCCTGAACAGCTCATCCATAATAAATCTTTTGCTTTATTTTCGGTAAATTAACCAACATCAAATAACAATTATTTGATTTAATTCTATTAATTTTGAATTGAACACATTGACATTGTACATTCTCATCTAACGATATTTTTGCTTTCGAAACAAAACCCCAGACCATAACCATGCACTGCAATTAAATTGATACAATATTTCATTTAAACAAATGCGTTGTCCCGGTTATTTTATTTTTCACTCAATTTTTTTAAAACTACAACTTCATATTCTATTGTGTCATTTGCAATGGTTAAATGTGTCCAATATTCGATAGACAAACCCGCAATGATTCCTGTGCAGTATATGTGTCACGATGTGGTTGTGTGGCCACCGAATAAAATAAATTAATGCCATCAATGAATGATTTTGCTGCATCTCTGAGTTGATTGCCATCCATTTGCTCAGCGCCGGTTCGATAGAAGTTTTCAGCAGTGGTGAGTGTGGCAATTTGAACTTCCAAATTAGTCATTTCTTTGCACTTCGGACACTTGACAATTTTCCTTGCCTTTTCGGGATAATTAAATAGATGTGTACACTTTGCGTTTGAGCACCTGTAAATTAGATAATGAATAACTTTTCCAAAGTTTTCCATCTTCGTTTTAACTTTAAAACTTGTCACTAACCTCAATCTGGCTTTATTTGTAAGTTTATCAAAAGTTGGCCAATTTTCTTTGCACGCAATACATTTACACTCGAACCAATATCGTGAACGTAAGTTTCTCTGTCGCACGGCAAGCGTTTGTTTTGTGAAAATCGGTCCATAATTTTCGGAAATTGTATCGCCCGGCTGTAATGGATGGGATGCAGTGAGTACAATGGATGTGCCCACAAAGTGTCGAATGACATCCGACGAACAACTATGGTTAAAATAAACGGCCGAATTATAAATGGCAGCACCAACATAGATCATTTTCTTGCCGCCAACATTTTGTTGACTTTCAAACGCTTTCGTCTCATATATTTCGTGTGCATTAAATTGAAGCGCCTGCAGTAAACCAATCAGAATTCCACCAATTTCAAACTCATGTTCGCTGTTTGGATAAGCTTCAGATCGAGTCAATAAAATCAAATTTATTTAATAACCGTGGTTAAAATTACTGCACAATATAAAAAGTTACCCGATTCTGATGTACGACGTCCAAAGAAGTTACTCTTTTGCAAAATGCGCAGAAGAAATGCTGATGCAACCGCACGTTGTAAGTAGTCAGTAGATTTTCGCTGGCTGGAATGGGTGCACAGTTCACGAACAATTTGCCGACCTTTTTCAATGGCCATTTCAACTGATGACTGTTGCGTTATGATTCGCAATGCGATGAAGCATAGAATTGACATGCCACTGCCAATCATCATGTGCATGAATTTACATTCATATGCATGATACGTTGAGCACGCTTCCTTTTGACAATCAATGGAACAGAATGCAACTCCGGAACAATCGGAACAAGCGTACGCCACTTCAATTCTATTGGAAATCATTCAACATCGGTCGATTGAAATAATTCAAAAATTTTGTTGAATTGCAAAGCATTCATAATGATAATTAAATGCATACCGTCTCAAACAATGTAAACAGTGTGATCCAAAGAATTTTGGCAGCAAACACGCAGCAATCGGCTTTTCAACAACAATCGTTTCACCGGTGTGTATCGGTTCGCTTGCAACAGCAAAATTTCCACATTCTGGTGTCGATTGAATTTCAAGTTTTCTCGTTGTATGTTTCAACGTTTCATGTTCACAATCGCTAAGGTCTGGCACTAAATTTAATTAAAATCAAAATGCATTAAATATACATGAAACTTGAAAAGATTAAATTGAATTCAATGAATATGTTATACCATCGATCTTTACGATTGTCGGGTGCGGTTTGATTTGCTTGATTTCACTTACGATGTCATCGTATTGAGCGCCAGCACCACAGAAACTTTTTACAAGATTCAAACAAATTTTTGTTTTACTCTCATTTCCCATCACTAAAAATACAAATCAATTGAAATCGTGTGAACGAAAAACTTTTTCAATCGGAATTTAAAGCGAGTGTGTTTGTTCGTCATTCAATGCCAAAATATGTCAATGATTTCGATAAAGCACCGCAAAATTTGGATCTCCGAGAAATCGAGAATCTTTCTTATTTGCCACACAGATGTAAAATCAAAATGCACACTCACATAAAATACATTAAACGTACAATCTGCACTTACTTGCGTTCGCTTTAGCCAAACGAACATAGTATTCGAGCTGCTTTTTCAAATCATCCAAACCATTATCGATAGCACTTTGTATGTCGACTAATGCATCACTTCCTCGATTTAGGTCAAGTAAAACAGCAGATCGCGACCATAATGCCAATGCAAGTGTTAATCCAGCATCGTGTCGTATATCCATGCCTTTGAAATGTGAAAATTTCATTTTGAGTTTATTCGATAGATGCGTTTTTTTTTTGCTTTCCTTTTGACATTCTAATCGCATTGATTTTAATTTCTAATTATTTCTCTTCGCTCAATGTTTTCTCACATAAAAAGAAAACTGTACGCGTTTACCTTACCCTTAGAGGGTGCACGAAGCACGGCTTGTGTCAATAGAATTAATGCATTATCCAAGTCGTTTTGCTGATGTAAACTTTCACCTTGTATACGTCTTTGATAGGAAAAGGAACAATCTTTTTTCCGATAAACTGGTATTACGTGCTCCAATGTTCCAAGCAACATATCGCTCACATTCGGCTCATCAAAAATCAATCTCAATTTATCCGCATCGGTCGTCAATACTTCAAATTTGGTTTTTAACCATTTTTCCGTACAACAATTCTTAACAATATCAAACATTTCACCAAAAAATCCCTGTTGCTCCGCAAAAATCGTTTTTTCACTACAAATTTCCGCGTAATCTTTATCCATTTTGACTTCTTTTCTCTTTGATTCGGCAACTGTTTTGGGGAAACGTGTTCTCACAAGCTTACGTTCAACATACAACTAAACGCAAATATTCACCAAAGGTTTTTTTGGCGGCGAACAAAGAATATTACGCACACGTCAGAGACAAAAAAAAAACAAATTCGCATACAACGGTTAAGTAATGCCTTCACTTTCAATTGCCTGTGCGGCGTTCAAGGGGATGAGATTTGAATGGTATTTTTTTGTTAAATTATTAATTAAATATCTTTTGATCTTTCTGGTTTTATCAATTTTTTGTCGGTTTTCTATGATTTAAATTGTCAAAGATAACCCCAATGAGAACAAAATCAAACAAAATTTTCGTGATTTTGCTTTTTCACATTAATTTCTGTAACATGAATAGTCCCCATGAACGAAGAATATATCAATTCAATGTACCGGCTTGAAAGACACATAAATAGTTTATGAAACAAATGTGAACGGTTTAAATCTCTCTTTGTAGTACGCACATCTATGTGTATGTGTACTAACCAGAGCAGCACAAAAATAGTATCCACTGTTTTAGTTGTTATTGCCAAAAGACATACACACATTGAGCGTTTATGTATATAGCTACGTTTTGGCTATCCGAGCAAAAGTCCGTCGTGTTATTTTCGTCGACACACTATACTCCGCATAAATTACGGACAGAAAACAGAAAGAAAGAAAATTGCGGGAAACAGCAATTACACATAAAAAAAATTTCAAAGAAATTTGATACTAAAAATAAATAGATTTTCTTGTTTGATGCGGTCGCAATTCCACAACGTTTCTAAACGTTTTACGCGGTAGTTCAAGTAGTATGGCATTCGGTTAAAGATTATATTGGGAATCAGCCAAAACATCGAAATTCACTTCAAAAAAGCAGCGAAAATGTAAAACATGAACGAATGAATGAAACAACATTTTTTCTCAGAAAGATTCATTCGCAATAGCATTGATTTTATCATGCCATATTTCATTCTACATTTCATTGCAATGATAAAGAGAGATAAATGATAAGAGAGCAAATAGACTCCAATGCGACTTTGTGGATTTGTTTATATTTGAGAAAAACTGTCAAAAAATTGAAATGTATTTACTGAAAGGATTATCTAAGTGCTTATTGGCGGATAATCTATACAATATATTTTTGTTTATTTCATATTTTTTCATCCTTGTTATCACAAATCGTTGAACATTTTTCGGTTTTTGTTTCACATAAATAATTTGCTATTAAATCTCTGGAGCGTAAATAAGAACATCATATTTTGTTCAGGTGTTCATAATTTTCAAATCTATAAATTCCACAAAGAAGAAGATTCTCCCCGCAAAGTCGAGACAGAAACAATTCCTATGTGATGACATGTTGATAAAAAAAATATTCACTTGTACATATGGATTTGTGTTATATTTCACTTAATCCATATCATTTGCATTCGACGCGATTGAAATGTGTTTTATCTAGAGAAAGAGAAAAGAAGAAAGTCCCTCGTGTATACACCATTTATTTCAAATAAATTTTATGTGAGTCTTACAAACGACGGGCTGAACAGATTTATGCAGAACTTGAGTAAAATTCAATACACACACGCACAAAATGGTGTATATGTTGGTTTTCAATGGAAAATCAGTTCATAGCCGATTTTATCTTCATAAAGATGTTTCAAATGCTGTTACACAAAAGTGGCAATTTTATAGTATTTAGGGCATGCTTGAATTCAAACGAAATGCTCTTAATACGCATTCGTCCTGATGAAATGGTTCGTATTACATTTTGTGTGTATTCATTTACATTTTCATTATGGTCGATTTGCCCATTTGAAGCTATTTCTCGCCTTCGAAATGATAATAGGTTGTGAGTGCGACCGCATGTGACTCCTAAGCCATACCGATAGAACGTTGAAATTATCAGAACAAAGCATATAATAATAAATTTTACCACCATTTTCTTTAACATTCTAACGTGAGCTCAGATGTAATTGAAGTGATTACGATGAAATAAAGAAACCATGAATCACGATCGCCGCCACGAAGGTGTATAGTACACGTACATTATGTATTTGTTATTGTCAATGAATGACGGATATTATATGGTGTGTGCAAAGTGCTCAATTCTAGTTTGGGTCGATTGGAGATTTATGTTTGAACGTTTGTATTTTCAATGCGTTAACAATGGCGATAAAGCCAACGAAAATGTACAAATTTCAACTGAAATAAATCGTCAAGATTTTTACTTTCTTCTCGATTCGTACACGTTTCCAAGTCGGAATCATGTTTGAGGTGGTGCTTGTGTGATGTTACTTGTTGCACCAGTTGTTGATGAAAGTTCAGTATTAAAATACATGCGCGGTTAATATATGTATATTCTAGAAGCGATCTTTTTTCGATTCAGTAGAAAAAAACACGCATGCAACTCAATAATCAATCACGCTGTGCGTTTTATTACGTTTTTTTTTTCATGCGATTTTGAAGCGTGTACGATTTTCTATCAGAAACCTTTCACAGTTCAACAAAAGAACAATGCGCGTTTCATTGCTATTGATGAGCATGGGCAACATAACAATACAAGCGTTTGACGTGAGAGCTTTTTTTTCCTTTAGCAATCTATTTTTCATATGATTTACAATACAATGCAGTGGCAGTATATATATTTATTGAATGGAAAACGCAGCACCAATAATAATAACAATAACAATTCATGCCATGGTCTGTCTACCTCTGTATCACACGAACCAAATGTCCTTGCATTTTTATATAGCGGAGAATATTAATATTCTTTTGAAATAAAATGATTTTGTCATGTTCAATGTTTACGTTTATTTATATATATTTTTTATTATTTTTTTCTTGCCAATGTGTTTTCGTTCTCTACACAATCTCCGAACATTTCACGCTGTTGCTATCATTTATCCGTTCTACATTTTATATTTATGCACATCGCGCAAACTTGTTCATTCGCTTGCATTTATGTACACGCGGTAATCTCATTCTTTCGGATTTTCATTCCGTGTAAAATACACATTTATTCAAACATCTCTTCCCCTTTATCATTCTCTCGTAAATTGATACAAATGCTACATTTCTCTAGAGCAGTACGTCTGTCTCTCAGCATTTTTTGTGCGCTTCATCATTTTAACAATATTATATATTTAGAACATTTTCTGCTGTTATTGTTACTCTTATGGTACAGATCACTGCGATACCAATGAAGGACATTCATACGCAACAATGTAGAATGTATTTATTCCATTCGCGCTGTCAACACCGAGACAACATCATCAACAATGAATGAGAATGTGCAATCCGTCGGTTGGATTATTTGAAAGCTAATGCGGTTTTTAGTCTTATTTCATTCGCGGCATGCATGCACGATGAACGGTCGTCATGTGTACGGTTTTGTTTTCATGCCAAACTATTTGCATAGAATCGGCGCATGGACATGCAAAATCAGCATTTCTCGATGAAAATTCAAATTGATGTTTCCGAATGGCATTACATTTTAATGCTTTACATTAAATTTTGCTCACGTGCTATCGAATAGCAAAGCTCTATTCATCGATACAATCATGTTAAATTTATTTCATTTCCTGCTTTTAAATTCGTGCTGATGGTTTTCAATCGATGAAAATGCGTATGCAAATTTTCGAATGAAAAGTTTTGGTGATTCATAGTTTGTTGAAAAATTCAAAGTAAAGCTTAGCTAGTAACAAATGTTAAACATGATATGTATTAGCCTTAATTTATACGAGTTTAGATTATATGGTTTTGTTGCACGGAATTTCATGTTCCGAGATAATCTGAACTATTTAATTTAAGTGAAAATTCACACTTTTACACATATTTGCTCATTCACGGTGGGCTTGAATCATTGATTAAATCCAGGCCACAAAATGTGCTCATATTTTAAGTGCTTTGCTTTCATCATTGTCGGTTGCCACACTGTAGATATAAAGAAGCCGCCCGAAGATTTCACTACTGTCAAGCGATACCCATACCAATTATTCATTTTATCATTCCATCAAATTTCAAACAACATCAATTTTTAAAAACAAGCATGAAATACCTGCTTTACATTAACAATGCGTAGATTCTCGTATGTTCGTATGGTTTTGGAAAGCATTTGCATGCAACATCGGATCACAAGAGATAAGTAAGCGCTAATGGTTATGGCATGAATCACGTTCAACCACAAAAGATACGTACGCTGTTTTGGTGATAGGTTTGACTAGCAGCCATCATTAGTTGGTGCTAACATCAAATATGTCGAGCAAATGCGTAATCTGTTTGTTACTTATAACCATGATTTCAACTATGCATTGCATTTCATCAGATATGGATGATTGAATGAATGTCTGTTTAAAATCGTGCCATTTAGGTAATAAAACGCTCTGCAGACGACGATTCTCTTTGGTGAAACACGGAAAATGTAAACACCGATGATCATATTGGTAGTGTTGTGTCGTGTTCATAAAATCAATTTTTAATGTGTGCAGCAGTGGAAATCCTTTTGAATTTTTGGTAAAGGGTAAAGTTAATCTCTGCCAAACAGAACGTAGCAAACGCAAAACTTAAATTCCAACCGAAAACCGCACATATACTCAGTTTTGCATGCGTGTTTTTATAAATATAAAAATAGCTAAAAAATGTGAGCATATGTTTTGTGTGATATGGGAATGTACGACTGTTATTGCTATGCAACGGTTTTGCAAAGTGTAACGATGAATTATCATAAAATCTAGACAATTGTTCAAAATCAAGTGTTTGCTTCTTCTCATGATATCCGGCACAGTGACTGGAAAACGGCGCCACGGCACAGCAATTCATGAACATATTCCAATATTTAAAATGCTTGTAAAACAAAACACATTGCGTTTGGGGCTACTATGTGTGGTGACTGTATGCGCCATCGTCCAAATAGAAGCGGTGCCGCACGGATAATTCGCAACAGCGCGGAACACGTGGTCTCAGTGTATTGCAAATATCGCAGACTGCATGTATCGCCTGAAAATACCGTCACTCGTGTTCACATCACAATGATAACAGACATTCCAAACTGGAAAGACGGTCTGAACGAGAAAGAGAGCGCATGAGAGCGTACAATCGAAGAGCCGATTCTCTTGAGCAGGAAAATCACACGATAAATTTTAGTGATTCCGATCGAAAACATTCAGTCTTCGAAACATCGTCATGCTAAGCGAAGGCGCTGCCGATAATTTTGCTGTGGTACTTGAACTTCCATATATTTCGTGTGTTATTATCCCATTAAAAATTAAACCAAAAAAAAACGAACAATGAATGTGCGTCGTTGAAGAACCGAGATTGAACACAATTATAAGAAAATATTTAATTTTCGAAAAGTAGAGAGTGTGAGAGATCAATAGAGTGGGAAAATTATTGTCTAATAATTTGCTTTTAATACTTTTTACCCGGTGATCTTTGGAGCTTTGAAAATAAAATAACAATTTGTTTAAATTGCTTCGTGATTCAAAATATTATATAAAAAAACGGTGTGTGTTTTTCCTCTCTCTTTATTATCTCTCAAGTGGTTGAATTTCCATTGGCACAGTGTTTTTTCTGCTATATTGCTGGTTTCATTACGCATTTTCGTGTAAATTTTCGAAATTGAAACGCGCTGGCACACAAAATAAAAACAAACAAGAGCCCTTAGACTAAATCCATTGTTCAAACAAAAATGAATGTATGCAGCCGCCAATTTATTCGAATACGGAACTAAGTGAAAACGCAAAATAAAATGAATAAACGCTTATCGCTGATATTTGTTTGATTATTCATTTGCATTGATACACAAAATAGAAGAGGCTTTGCTGATAACGTTCAATAAATTGAAAATTCTTTATTGGAGCATGTAATTCGATTGCACAGTGTGTTTGCATGGAAAACAATTTCACATGATAGAATAAATCGAAAATTTTTGCAATTGCGACAAACGAAGTGAATTTCACACCACATCTGAGCAATCTAATAAAAATGAAGAGTTTTACGCTTAAAGTGTGTTGAATGCTCGTGCATGTGTAGCCAAAATGTATTTACTGCAGGAAACCAATTTAAATCAGCTCTTCTGTGTGTATATCTATTGTAACAAATCGGAAAAATCACAGCAATTTGAACCACAATTTGAACAATTGATTAACAGTTAATTACGGCGGATGATTCGATAAAATGCACGCATGTGTGGGCAAAAATAATTCCGAATCCAACTTGTTGACTTGCTAAATACGTGTTAATTTGTGCGATATGAGTATCGTGTCGCTGAGCGTGTGTATCATGTAAATTGAATTATTTACCTAAAATTTTATAAAAGAGCAGAAAAAACACACAGACAGAATACTCGACAAATGTGATATCATCGATAGCTCAGAGGTGAATAAATAGTGGTAAGTGTGTTATATATAAATCTCAAATGTTTATTCAACCGAAAATCAATTATCAAAACTCGACCAGATAAAATGCAGTCGAGCATAACAACTCAATTTGTCAAGTGACATTAATTTTCGTGTTGTTATTTCTGCTTAATTTGTTCAGGAATGGATAAAATTAAATTTGTTACATGCTTCAAGAGGGGATGCGAGAGAAATACATCTGAAATTTGAGTACTGAACATCGAATCTGAACAGTTTTCGTTTTCAAATTAATGAAATTGGATTTCCATTCCATTATTGTTCTAGTGAAATGTTATTATACATTTTCTTCGTATCATGCTTCAGTAATAATTTCCTTTCAAAGGAGAAAAGAAATCAATTTGTAGATTGTTTTGTGTGGTTTTGCTATTTGTTCAATCACCAAAGAAACCGCACCGCATATTTACACAATAATAATAATTTCCGATTTTGCAAGATGTTGTATTGTTGATCCAAGCATACATTTTTGTTTATTCATTCAACGAGGATCTATAATCTATTTGTGAACCGCTGATGTTTTACAGAAAGAGAAAGAAACGCGTCAATAAGCCACCCAACCACCCTTCACACAAAACAACAATCAAAACACACTAATGGAGAAAAAACGGTACATTTAGTATGGGGAATGGCATTTCTTTTTCATTCAATTGAAAAACTTTTGCAAACTTTGTCATTTGATATCTTATATATAAATGGTGATGGTGGTTGGGAGAGCTCCTTGGAATTACAGTGCGTATTTCACTTGACTTGGATTTTCATTAATCGTAAAACAATGCCACGATAATGGAGTGGTCGTGATTCTGTTGCCACAAATGAAGATTCCCAAAAAGTTATCACTACCGACACCAAGTGTGTGGGCATGAAGTAAAAAAGGCACTTCATTTTCGCCCTAAATTAATACCACAAGCACAAATTATCAGAGCTCATCCCATTGTGGTATGTGTAGGTATTTTGGTGATGGTGATTAATGAAATTCAATTTGACCACCTCGGCCATTTGACACTTACCTGATAATGTGTGCGTGTGTATGTGCAAATGAACGTATACGAAATCTTAGATTTGACGCAATATCTATTGAACTGGAACTTAACATCCAAAATATATGGTTGCGATCGATATTAAAGTGTATGGAATTTGTGCCAATTGTATGCTTTACCTTTTATGCATACAAAGACATGCCAGAATTTTAATTGTTTCCATGGCAAAATTCGAATATCCTTATTTATCTGCATTTGTACACGTTTGCCCTAGAATCCGAAATAATATTACAACACAAAAATCGGTTATTTTGCTCGATGTTTTGTTATTTAAATTTTAAGCGTATGATATTGCTGTAGTTTATGGATAAAGCATGCGATTAAAGAAAAACAATATCGAAATCGTTTGATTTCGAATTGAAATCGAATGGTCGTGCATGGCAAAGGTTCATCAGCGTGAATGCATGTATATTCTACTACCTGTCTTGCTGTATATCATATATTCTTTTTAGTAGCAGTTTTGTTACAGTGATTTAAATGGTGCTGTTTGTATCGATTTTTGTGTCCTCATACGTTTTTCTATTGTTGCAGACAATTTTGTTCATTTGAACATCTTTATTGGGGTCATTTTTGTGGATTGGTGATCCCACTTTAACTTGATTTGTTCATGCCATGACATATGCCCCCATGTTGGTTTGGTGTTAATCAAAATAGATACAAACTAAAAATGGCATTTAATGCGGGCGAACACCATTCTATGGTCGAAATATATTCGGTTTTAATCATTCCACAATGGCCACTCGATATTCTCGTGACCACTTTACATCTATCATTCTTGAAAGAAACCACATAACCGCTTACATTCAACTCCTCAGGAGCAAAACGGAATAAGATGTTGAGCGGTTATGGTGGTGTTTAAATTAAATTGAAAAACAAAACAAAACAATGTCCCGGCACAATATTTGCTCCGTTGCATAGGTCACACAAAATATCGAGCTAAGGTGGCATGGTAACCAATCAAGTAAATATCCCAAAACGAATGAACAACGCTCAAATCTTTTCGAACATATACGCATTCAAGCTAGCCGCTGGCTAATAAATAATCCAATCAAAACGGTCGAAACTCAGTTCGTTCCATGTAATCTCATTATTCAGTCTACTTCTCTTGTATATTCTGTTTAATGCGATTTCTTTATCAATATTTCCTCGGTGTTTGGCTATTTTCATTTCACATTCTCAATGTATTATTTTTTATGTGCCTTCATTCATTGTTGGTATTCTCAAAAGGTTTGACGATTTTCGGTGGATTTCTTGTGGGCAAAAAATTACCCAGACAAAAAAAAATGTAACGGTAGCATGTGGCAAATTTAACCATTAAATTATTTGATTTATTTCAAAAATGATTTCATTTATGGCGCTCAACAACATACTTTCGAGCCAAAATGCCACAATGGTGGTGGTTTTTTTTCCTCTTTTGTAGACCATAAAATGTGAATGGGAATTAATGTCAAATTGTCTAAAATAGCAAAAAAAAAGTTTTATCGTTATGTTGTTCGACGCCTATTTGTGATCATTATCAAACATTAAAATGTGATTTGCTTCCCCATATGTTTCCATTTCATTGTGAAACACTATAAATTCTACGTTGAAATTGCTCGTTGTCACTCGTTTGTCGGATGATTTGCGCATTCATTTTGCATTCCATTTCTCAATTTATACCATCAACAGAATGTTAAGCCAAATGTTAATACATGCAACGAATGAGCTGAAGATGAACATTTACAACATTTTCAAAATAGTCTTACATGGAATGCTTTTAATTTCATCCGAAGCACAAGAAAAGCTTTGTCTTCGATGGCATTTAACACCCTCACAATTTTGGATATCGTAGTGCATGTTATGAAAGCGCGTGTTATTTATTTTGTGCCTTTTTTCTCTCTCATTTGAAGCGTGTTATAAGATTACACTCACTGTAATAGAAACGGACATAAATACAAAAGAATAAGAAGAAGAAAAAATCATGTCGAAAGTATAATTTCAAAGAGATATCGTACCACGGCATCTATGTATGTTTTGTACACTCTGCAGTCGACTTGCTTTTTCGTTGAATATTCCATAGCATGCACAATAAATGGCAAAGAACTCTGGAATCCTTAACTAGTAATACCATAAGATGTTATTCAATGGTGTACAACACACAAAATGTACGTTGTGTTGTAAGTTCTATAAATTAATCACAATTACTGTACAGTGAACACGGTTTTTGTGTGTGCATTGCTTGCAAAACGTTTGCTTTTCTACTTTCATCAAGATGTAAAACACAGCAGTTGAATGTGTAATCTTCTCATTTGAAATTGTTGCTTTTCTTTGTGTGTGTGTGCGCGCTCGTGTGTCGATCGGAGAAAAATAAGAATGGCATGCAGAAAAACTGTGTAAATAAATATTCCATTTTCACTGTTCTTCAATCATTTTGTGAAGTAAAATAACTTTTCTTGAAAAATATGTGCCAACATTGAAAAACATCCACGACAAGGAAGAGAGCGAGAGCATTCAAGAAAATGCTAATACCGAGTTTAATTACAAATTTTCATTCGCACAGTATAGCATAGTAGTATTATGGCAAAACAAAAGTTAGTAAAATGTATACACAAAGAGTATTATTCGTCTTAACTTGAAGCAATTTTTCGTTTGGTTTCTTCAATTTGAAGTCAACATTGTGAACAACGGCATACGGTGAATAGAAGACGAAAGAGAAAAAGGAAGAGGTTGTTGAAATGGCGCCAATGCATGAATGGCAGCAAGCACGCATCGCTCACAACGAAATATATATAAATACGAAATTTGTTTTCATTTTCATTCGTATTGGATAAAAAGTTCAACAATGAATAAAAATTGGAAAAGTCGGTGAAGTTCGAATTGTATGTGTGTGTATATTGTACAAACTTAAAATAAACAATACTTGACTCGTAGCAATGTGAAGGTATATGCATATTAGAAAATGGAATAAGTAATGCCACCAACTGAATCTCAAATAAGCCACAAAAATGAGGCATTCAAATGGCTTGAAACGATTTTAATGATATATACTTTCCATCCATTGACATGCTGATGCACAAACAGGTCTGGTGAATTTTATGCAAAATTTATATATAAATGCATTATTTGTTGGTTTTGTATGTTGTTGTTGTCTTTGAGATATGTACTCGTTGATACCAACCGCCTTTGTTGATGGATGCCATTAAAAACCGAGACACACTTAAATCATTGCTGCAGAGCTTTCTATCTTCTTTCATGTGGTTTTTTGTCTTCTTCTTTGATAGCTGTACAAATTTAGCCGCAACGCTAATGCATAGTATATTCTATTGTAAAATTTGGTAGGTTTTCACAATTCGTCTGGGAACAGCATACACATCCATTCATCCTCAATAAAGAGAAGATTTTGATATTTTCCAAAAAAAATTCTAAACATTTCTTGTGTGGACATTTTCCACGCACACAAACAATCTAATATTCATGGCATTTTGATGTGAATCAAATCTGTTGTCTACTTGACAATGCGATTAGAACGTCTCATTATCTTCTTTGGTTGAACTAATATAAATCGTTTCATAAATATACTAAGTTTTAATCTATGGTTTTCGAATTGATATGGATGTGTTTGCCAGAAAAAAACTGTTGAGACATTTTGCCGCGGCGATTGTTGAAAAGTGCTGCAAGCTATCGTTGTAGACATCAATGTTATATAATTTATACATTACTTTGAAAATTTTGCAAAAGGCTGCAAATAACCTTTCAGCAAACTTTTCAGATGGATTTCATAAGTTTCGCATAAACTTTGTATAGTTTTAGACAGACGCCATTTCATTTTATTTTCAGGTGTAATATTTTGTATTTTTTTTTTGTTTTCACCACCATATAGCATCCATTTCAAATTCGTATCACAAGAACCATTACATTCTGGTGACGTTAAAAGTTTGTAGCTGTAATGAAGAAAATCTA